TCTCTCTCTCTCTCTCTCTCTCTCTCTCTCTCTCTCTCTCTCTCTCTCTCTCTCTCTCTCTCTTTTGTCCTTCCTTCCTTCCTTTCTTCCTTTCTCCTTCCTTCCTTCCTTCCTTCCTTCCTTCCTTTCTTCCTTCTTTCTTTTCTTCCTTTCTTTTGTCCTTTCTTCCTCCTTCCTTCCTTCTTTTCTTTCTTTCTTCCTTTCATTCCTTTTTACTTGGTAGAAAGGGCTTTGTGTATTATGTAAGTGCCCAAACACTGAGCTATATCTCCCATGTATTTAAAACATTTTTTTTAACTTTCAAGACAGTGTCTTGCTAAATTGCCCATGCTCCCATGAAACTTGTAATCCTCCTGCCTCCGTTTCCTGAGAAAATGGAATTACAACTGTAAAGGTCAGGTGAGCGTCGGAGGAAGAGACCACCAAGAGACTGTCTCATGCAACAGCAAAGGGTTTATTGGGGTCCAGCATGCTGGGGCTCAGAGCTCACTTGAATAGAGCAAAGAGCCCTGAGAACAGCTTAAGCAGAGCTTATATACTTTCCTTGGAGAGGGCAGGGAGGGAAGTTCATTGATGGGTCAGGGCGAGTGGGCGGTTTGCCTGCCACCGGCAGTTGGGGACAGCACATTCTGGGAACAAGATTAGCAAACAGTTCTCGAGATTATTAACCTTTCATTTCCCACTTCTTCTTCTGGTTATTTTTAATCATAAAAGTGATCATTGGGGGGTGTCACATTCTATGTCTGCTAGTGGGGTATATTGTTGTCTGATTACCATAAGTTTGATTTGTCCAATTTGAGCTTGGAGAAAGGAAACTACACGGTTGAGCAAACAGGGTCCTAGAGTTAGCAACAATATAAGGATTATTAAAGGACCAGCCAGGGCTGATAAAAGCATAGTTAACCAGGGGTACTGTGTGAACCAAGATTCATACCACCCTTTTTGGGTTTCTCTCTCTCGTTGACGCTCTTAAATGTGTCTTCTTAATTTATTCATAGATTTTTTTACAACTCCAGTATGGTTGGCATAAAAATAACATTCTTCCCTCAATGCAGCACAAAGGCTTTCTTCTCTCATGAAGAGGAGGTCCAACCCTCGCCTGTTCTGTAAAACAACTTCAGAGAGAGAGGTTAAAGATTCCTGCAAAGCTGTGATGGAGGTTTCTAATATCTTTAAGTTTTGGTCCATTGCTGTTTCTAATTGGGTCATTTGTTGTGTCCCACGGACCAGGGCAGTGGTTTCTGTGTCCACCCCTGCAGCAACTCCTATTCCTAATAGGATGGCTAAAGTGAGGGATACAGGTTCCCGGCAGAACCGGGTTGTATGTCCCCTTATTTGATCTTCAAATGAACCTGCATCATGACAGAGCACTCTGGGAAACATCTGCACCATTATACAATTAATCACATCTGTTGACCATTTCATGAAAACATAAATAATGTTTAAGTATATAGAATTATACTGTTGTAGGGACGGACAAGACAAGGCACCTAAGATAGCACCGAAGACAGGGAAACAGTCCTATTTGGTTGCAACCGGATTCAGAGGGCATTGCTTCTGTTGTAATCAATTAATCCCCTGAACCCCAAGTTTAGGTAGTTTCAGAATTTTGTACTCAACATGTAAGGGAAGGGGCTCAGAAGTTCACAGGCTGTAGAAGTTCACAAAAAGCAGTTTTTGTTTCTGTTTTTTCCTCTGTTCTGGGCAAGTTAACTTTTCAAGGACACCTGGGAGGGGGAGAACTTTTTCTTTTTTTTTTCCCTGCCAGCTGTTACCATGGAGCCCAGTTGATAACTTTTTTATCTTAGAAATGTAGCCATCTCTGTGAAGCCCCAGCTCAAGGCCAGAGGCCTTGTTCACATATTTTGTGAAAAACTAGTAAGGGGATGTCTAGCTTAGGAGTGCTGATTTTTCCAGCCAATGGCCAAGTAGAACAGGGCAACATGAAAAGAGGAAGTTTATCTATACTGAACTCTTTTATAGGGACTCTTTTGCTGAAAGTCCTAAAGTCAGCCATGGTGAAGACTTCTGGAGAAGGTCAGTTAAGACTTTTCTGTGGGCCTGGTACAGAGGGGGAAGACAGGGAAGGCTGTGCTGAGAGCAGCTCCGTGGATCTGAGAATGAGGAAGGAGAGATGTAAAAGAATAATGGGAAAGGGGTTTGGGATTTTCCTAGCAACAAAAACTTGAGTAGTAGAACAGGTAGAGCAGAGGGGAAGTCTGGAGTGAGTATCCCAAAAAGCCTGTGAGGGACTTTAAATTTTTAGTAACCTGTTTTCAGTGATGACAAAGCAACTTTAAAGGCCATTTTCATTACATCTTGGATAGGGGTCTGAGGGCTCTCCTCAGCTGGTTTGAGCTTTGGGTTAGCTGGTAAGAGGACCTGGTGGGACCCGGTGTGGCACTGACAGGAGAAGAGAGGAGTGAATGGGTGGAAGTGTACCTCAGTACTTGCTACCTCAGCAAGGGGGCAATGGTCTGAGAACCGGCGGAGGTTTGGGTTCCATCAGGTAGCCCCTGTATGTTTACATCCTTATGACTTACAGAAGAAGTCGGTTTTTTCCCCACACAGCCGTGACTGTTTGTGGCTTTGATAGTCCGCCGGGCAAACATAGTAATCTAGGTTAGCCAACCTGCATCTGGCTCACGTGTCCCTACATCCATAATGTTTGTTTCTATTATCTATGGTACGGAAGGGATTTAATGGAATTTTAGTGGGATCCTCTTCATCAGGGATATCCCAATAGGAAAGACCTATAGCCAGCTGACAAATGTCTGGGTGGAAAGATGGCCATTAGGTCCCTAAGTGGGCTGTATGTGAGATAGATCATACTTCTTGTCCAGTAGGATTTGTGATTAGCCATCGCTGCTGAACGGGCTGATGAGGGTTAGGACTACTGGTGGTCAAGGGGAGAGTCCATAGCCTTATCCACACGGCGAATACGCAATTTGAGAGGGTTACCAGTCTTTTCCAATTTCCAGCCAGAGACTGGACAGGGCGCAGGCTTGAGATGAGAGGCATGGATCCAGGAAGTGATTCCATCTACCTTTACCGCTGTAGGTGTTAAAAGTAGCACCTGGTATGGTCCTTTCCAGCGGGGTTCCAGGGATGACACCTGATGTCGTCTTACGTAGATGAAGTTTCCCACTTGATATTGGTGTGGAGTTCCTTCGTCCCCAGGTTGGTAGGCAGTGGCCAGCTGTTTCCACAGGTATCACTGAGTTTTTTCAAGAGCTTTAAGTCTGTCAAGCAAGGGGGTGTGGAAGGGATCCTTAGGTCTTAGAGTTGGGGTTATGTCCCTTACTGGAGGAGGGGCACCATAGAGAATTTCATAGGGGGTGAGGTTATACAAAGAAACACAGGGAGTATTTCTTGTATGAAACAGTGCATAAGGCAGGAGCATAGTCCAATCTTTTATGCCGGTCTCTAAGCTTAATTTCGTTAAGGTCTCTTTAATGGTTCTATTCATTTTTTCTATCTGTCCTGAGCTCTGGGGTCTATAAGCACAATGTAACTTCCAATTAATCCCCAGGGTCCTGGTTAACCCCTGACTTACCTGGGCCATGAACGCCATTATCATTTCTGGTCCATTATCAGACCCTATTACCTTAGGCAGGCCGTATCTTGGAAAAATATCTTCCAGGATCTTCTTGACCACCATTTGCGCCATTTCTGTTTTTGTGGGGAAGGCTTCAATCCATCCTGAAAATGTATCTACAAAGATTAGGAGATATTTAAGTCCATACCTTGCTGGCTTAATTTCAGTAAAGTCCACTTCCCAAAATTGTCCTGGTCTGGTTCCTCGGAGGCGCCTTCCTGCAGGAAGCTTGGAAGGGTAAGCATTAACCAATTGACAGACCCGACAGGCTTTTATTACCCGTTCAGCTATTTCCTTTCGCTGTGAGCCGGTTAGTGGAAAACTCTGTTCTTGATCCTTCAGGAATGCCTGCAATTTCTTTGAACCAAGGTGAGTGAGTTGATGTACATTTTTAATGTAGTGTAAGGCTTTCTGAAATTGCAGGCTGGGCTCAGTAAAGTCGAGGAGTTCAGTGTCAGTGTCCTTATGTTCCCCCGGTGTGGAAAGTGTTAACATGGTTACTCCATTTAGGGCTGCCAATTTAGCTTCTTCATTTGCCCTCTTGTTAGATGGGGGTAGTATCTGCACAACGGTTTGTTTTCTGGGCTCAGTGAGCCATCATTTACCGCCCCTAAGGGAATAGTCCAGGAAGATTACTTCTTGCTGGCAAATTTGGGCCTTTTTGGCAGAAGCTCTATACCCGAGTTGAGCAAGCTCGGATAATAGTGCTTGGGTCCCAGACTCACAGTTTTCCTTGGTATCGGCTGCCAGTAGCAGGTTATCCACATATTGAAGCAGGGTGACTTCGGGGTGCGTAGTTCTGAAGTTGTTGAGATCTCTGTGGAGGGCTTCATCAAAGAGAGTGGGGGAGTTTTTGAACCCCTGTGGGAGTCTGGTCCAAGTTAGTTGATCAGACATTCCGGTTTCTGGGTTTACCCATTCGAAAGCAAACAGCAACTGACTATCTTTATGCAGAGGCAAGCAAAAGAAAGCATCTTTTAAGTCCAGAACAGTATACCATTTTCGCTCAGGGATCAGGGTGCTAAGCAGATTGTACGGATTAGGTACTGTGGGGTGAATGTCCTGCACTCTGTTATTGATCTCTCTTAGGTATTGAACGGGGCGATAGTCCCCGGTTCCTGGCTTTTTTACTGGTAGCAGGGGAGTGTTCCAGGCCAATTGACAGGGCCTTAGGACCCCTAAGGCCAGATATTTCTGAATATGGGGCCTTATCCCATCTTTAGCTTCTTTGCTCAGAGGATATTGTTTAATATTAATTGGGGAGGCTGAGGTTTTTAACTCCACTGTTATTGGAGGTTGTTTTATGGCTAGGCCTAACCCAGCAGTTTCTGCCCAGGCATCTGGGTAATCTGTTATCCATTTCTGGGATAGCTTGCCTGTTTGATCAGTCTTGGGGGGTGTGAAGAGTTGATGCTCATCTTCTACTGACATAGTTAAAGCCATGACTATAGGAGTTTTTACTGAAGGATTTAGAAATTCCATTTGGGGGCCTTCAGGGTTAAAAGTTATTCTGGCCTGGAGCTTGGTGAGCAGATCTCTGCCCATCAATGGGGCCAGGCATTCTGGGATCACTAGGAAGGAGTGATGGACTTTTCCTTTCCCCAGGTCCATGGTCCTCTTAGTTGTCCAAGCCCGATATTTACTGCCATTAGCCCCTTGAACTAGAGACCTTTTAGTTTATAGAGGGCCCAATGGGGCCTTAAGGGCTGAGTATATTGCCCCTGTATCCACTTCAAAGTTTGCTAGGGTCCCCTCCACTTCAAAAGTTACCCTGAGCTCGGGGAGGGGATCCGAGCCCTGACTTTCCTAGTCATCCTCCAGAGTTAGAATGGCTGGCTGGCGTGGCTGTTTCTTTCTAGGGCACTCTTTGGCCCAGTGTCCTTTTTCTCTACAGTAGGCACATTGATCTGAGGCCAGAGGTGGCTTCTGGCGTGGGCCCAGGTATCCCTTTCTGTCTCCCTGTCTCTTAATTTCTGGCCTATTTGTTGTGGTGACCAGCACCTTAGTCAATGCCTTAGTCTGTCTTTTGCTTCTTTCATCCTCCCTTTGCTCCCTTTCTTTCTCCCTCCTTTGTTCCTTCTCTTCCTCAGTTTCTCTCTTATAGTATACCTTCTCTGCTTCTCTGACTAAATCTCTCAAAGTCATATCTTGTAATCCATCTAAGCATTGTAATTTTCTTTTAATATCCAGGGCAGCTTGCCCAATAAAGGCCATAGTGACAGATGCTTTTTGATCCTCTGCCTGAGGATCGAAAGGAGTATATCTCCTATATGTCTCCATAATTCTCTCTAGAAACATAGAGGGAGATTTATCAGGCCCTTGAATAATCTCTCTTACCTTGGCCAAATTAGTTGGTTGCCTAGCGGCCACTTGGAGACCTGTTATTAGAGCCCAGCGATAAGTGGACAGATGCTCCCTACCTTTAAAGGTGTTATGGTTCCAGTTGGGTTGGTTCAAGGGGAAGTTGTGTCAGTTGCCCATCTGGTCCGAGGATATTTTTTTCCTAGCTTCCAGGAGGATTCTCTTTTGTTCCTCTGTCATGAAGAGAGTCCCTAGGAGTTGTTGGCAGTCATCCCAAGTAGGCTGGTGTGAAAACATCAATGACTCAATTAGACCTGTGAGCCGGGCGGGGTCCTCGGAAAAAGGGGGATTGTTATTTTTCCAGTTATATAGATCTGAAGAGGAGAAAGGCCAATACTGGTAGGCTTGCATTTCTCCACCATGGCCATCCTCTATCATTGGCCCATAAGGATGGAGGGGAAGTATCACGGGGGCTTCAGGGTTTTTAATCATTCACTGCCAGCGAGTTCCTTTAGCTGGGCCAGTTTCCTCCAGGGGAGGAGGGGCTGTATGTGCCGTGGTGAAGTCATCTGGAGGGCACTGGGCCGGCTTAGCTTCCTCCAATGGTGGAGAGGCTGAGTCAGCAGCAGGGGAATCACTTAGAGGGGTTTGGGGGTTGGGGGATGAGGGCAGGGCATAAGGAGGGGGAGGAGAGTCCAGTAGAGTCAAATCTTGAGACTCAGGGAGAACAGAGGGTGGAGGAGGAGGAGAATCAGAGGGTTTGAGAGACAGAATCGTGGGGGAAGGAGTAGAAGCAGGGGCAGGGACAAGGAAAGGCTTCACCCATGGAGGAGGAGATTCGCAGAGGTCCTGCCAAGTTAAGATATACGGCTGTTGATCTGGATGGCTATGTGGTCCCGGCTGAAAGACAAAAACAATATCTCTGACTTTTCAAATTAGTGGGAAGTAGAAAGATCCTTCTGGGGGCCATCCGACTCCAAAGGTGGGCCATTCTGAGGCACAGAGAGTCTGCCAGGTCCGGCGTTTTACTGAAAAAGAAAGATTCTGAGCCCTTAAGCGGACTTCGGTCCAGTGATCAAGGGTCAGGGACAGAGGCGTTGAAGTGCTCTGTCCCATAATGAAAGATACACAAACAGTGAAAGCAAGGACACATGACACAGACAATAAAGACAGACAGTAAACGATCAACACTGAGACAGGACTGAGTAGCCGGCAAAACATGATGGGCTGGCAAACCAAATCCGAAGCAGAATACTGCAGAATACTGAGTCGAGGAAACTACTGTTCCTCGATTTCCAGAGTCCTCTGGGGTGTCCCCCAGGGACGTGGCCTGTGGCTCTGTGACATGTATGTCAGCCACTGTCGGAGAGAGCTCACGCTCTTCACCAACAGCCACTTTGCCAGCCCTAACCTGAAACCTGAAACCTGGAACCAGAAACCTGAAACCTGGAACCAGAAACCTGAAACCTGGAACCAGAAAGCAGAAACCAGAAAGCAGAAACCAGAAAGAGGCACCTTACTTACCCCGAGAGGGGCCCGTTGGGGGTCTTTCGTCCGCCGCTGCCGGATCTCGGTGGAACCTCCAAATGTAAAGGTCAGGCAAGCGTCGGAGGAAGAGACCACCAAGAGACTGTCTCATGCAACAGCAAAGGGTTTATTGGGGTCCAGCATGCTGGGGCTCAGAGCTCACTTGAATAGAGCAAAGAGCCCTGAGAACAGCTTAAGCAGAGCTTATATACTTTCCTTGGAGAGGGCAGGGAGGGAAGTTCATTGACGGGTCAGGGCGAGTGGGTGGTTTGTCTGCAACCAGCAGTTGGGGACAGCACATTCTGGGAACAAGATTAGCAAACAGTTCTCAAGATTATTAACCTTTCACAACTATGTGCCACCAAGACTGGCTTGCTCTTATTTCTTTTTTGCTTTTAAATGTTTTATTAGTATACTGTGGTTACACATAACATTGGGGTTAATTTTGACTATTAATACATGTTTGTAATATAATCTGCTCCATTTCAATCCCCAGTACCTCTGATTTTCCTCCCCTTGTCCATTGTCCTGATCCATTTCCTCTACTCTACTGGCATTTTTTTCTATTTATTTATTTTTTAATTACACACACACACACACACACACACGCACATGCACACGCACACACTTAAATGTAGAGTATAATGTGATGTATTCATACATGAACATAGAATAATTTGGTCAATTTGATTCTGAAGTTCTCCTCTTTTCCATACCACCTCCCTCCCCTCAATCTCCTTACTCTGCTCTACTTTTCTTCCTTCTAAGTTCATGGGATTCTCAATTTTTAAAAAGCCCTATTTTTCTCTAGCTACTAGAGAAAACATTCACCCTTGACTTTCTGTGGCTGACTTGTTTTACTTAGTATGATTCTCTCTAGTTCCATCCAGTTACCAGCAAATAAAGTAATTTTGCTCCTCTTTTTGGCAGAGTGAAACATCACTTCATGTATAGCATATTGTACTTTAATAAATAATCTCATTGGGCAACAGAGCTGTTTCTGTAATTAGGCTATTGTGAACAGAGCTTAACTTCTTCCAATTCTTAGAGAAAGAGCTTTAAAATTTTCACATTTGAGCCTGACATTTGCTGTGAGCTTTTATTCATCTTTCTGTCATTGATGTAAGTTCCTGTGTGCATAATTTGTTGTTAGTTTTTAACATAAAGGGACATTAAACTCTATAAAATAATTTTCTGTGCTTTTTAAGATAATTATCTTATTTAGTTATGATACACTATATTCTTTTTCATTTTTATTGATTCTTTTTACTTATACATTACAATAGTATTCATGTTGATAAAATTATAAAAGTATGGGATATAATTTGTTCTAAGTCAGTCCCCATTACTTCTTCTTTCCTTCATCTCCTCCCTCTCACTGCTCTCTTTCCTGTATTCTACTGATTTTTCTGCCATTTAGTTAAGTTTTTTTATTAGTGTCTTGTGGATGAACATCACTGTAAGATTCACTGAAGTATATTTGTATATGCACATAGAAAATTTAGGTCAGATTCATTCAACTGACTCCCTATTTCTTCTCTCCTCCATTCCCTTCATTATCCTTTGTCTACTTCACTGATATTCATTTATTTTTCATTCTTGTATGCCTCATTTGGGTTTGTTTCCACATATCAGATAAAACATTCAACCTTTGACTTTTTGGTACTGGCTTATTCCACTTAGCATGACAATCTCCAGATCTCCAGATAAATCTACTATCAAATGTCATAAGGTCATTCCTCTTTATGGCTGACTAATACTCCATTGGGTATATGTACCACATTTTCTTTATTCATTCATCTTTTGAAGGCCAAAGTTTTTGTTCTATAGCTTAGCAATTGTAAATTTTACTTAGCTATAAACATTGATGTGTCTGTGTCACTGTAGTAAGCTGATTTTAAATACCTTACATATATACCAAGTAGAAGGACAGCAGGATCATATGAAGTTTACATTACTAGTGTTTTGAGGAATCTTTTTTGAGAGAGAGAGAGAGAATTTTAATATTTATTTTTTAGTTTTCAGTGGACACAACATCTTTGTTTGTATGTGGTGCTGAGGATTGAACCTGGGCCACATGCATGCCAAGCAAGCGGGCTACCACTTGAGCCACATACCCAGCCCTTGAGGAATCTTCCTACTGCTGTACAACATGGTTTTCCTAATTTTCAGTCACACCAACAATGTATGAGTGTACTCTTTTCCTCAAATCCTAACCAATATTTATTATTATTTGTATTTTTTATTTGTTATACTTAGTTATACATGGTAGTAGAATATATTTGGCATATATACTTTCATGGAATATAATTTATTCTAATCAGGATCCTACCCTTGTGTTTGTACATGATGCAAAATTATCCTGATTTTGTACTCAAATACAAGGAAAGAATAGTTGTCTCATTAATTCTACTGTTCTTGCTTTCTTTCCTTCTCCATTCAATTTGATTCCCTTTCTCTAATCCAATGGACTTCTAGTCTTCCCCTCCCCATACTGTCTTATTGTGGTTAATGTCCACATATTAGACAGAATATTTGGCCTGTGGATTTTGGGGACTTCCCTGTTTCACTTAGCATGATATTCTCCCATCTCATCCATTTACTGGCAAATTCCACAATTTAATTCTTCTTCAGGGTTGATTAATAATTCATTGTGTACATATACAACATTTTCTTCAGCATTCATCCATTGAAATGCCCATGGATGTGTTCCATATCTTAGCTATGGTGAATTGAGCTGTTATCAACATTGAAGTGGCTATGCTACTATAGTATGCTGATTTTAAGTCCTTTGGTATAGACTGAGGAGTGAAATAATTGGGTCAATGGTGCTTCCATTCCAAGTTTTTCTAAGGAGTTCCCATACTACTTTCCAGAGTGATTGCACCAATTTGTTGTCCCACCAGCAATGTATTGGAGCACCATTCTCACCAATCCTCACCAACATTTATTGTTACTTATATTCTTAGTAGTTGTCATTCTGACTGGCGTGGGATGGAATCTCATGTAGTTTTAATTTAAATTTCTGTAATTGCTAGAGATGCTGAAGTTTTTTTATATACTTCTTGACAATTCATATTTATTCTTCTTTGAAGTGTCTGTTCAGTTCCTTTGTCCATTTATTGATTTGTTTGTTTGTGTGTGTGTGTGTGTTTTGATTTCTTTACATATCATGGAGATTAATTCTCTATCTAAGGCGCAGGTGGTAAAGATGCTCTCTCATCCTGTAGGCTTTCTCTTCATAGTTTTGATTGTTTCCATTGCTGTGAGGAAGCTTTTTAGTTTGACACAATGCCATTCATTGAGTCTTGATTTTACTTCTCATGTTTTAGGAGTCTTGTTGTGGAAGTCAGTTCCTAAGCTGACATAGTAGGGAGTTAGGTCTACTTTTTATTATCTTATATGCAGGGTGTCTGCTCTAATGTCTAGGTCCTTGATCCACTTTGAATTAAGATTTTTTGCAGGGTAAGAGAAAGGGTTTCAATTTTATTTTGCTACATATGGATTTTCAGTATTCCCAGCACTATTTGAAGAATTAGCTAACTTTTCTTCAATGTATATTTATGGCATCTTTCTCTAGTATGAGATAACTATGTGAGTGTATATCTGTGTCTTCTATTCTATGCTGTTGGTCTTTATATCTCTTTTGGTGCCAATACCATGCCATTTTTGTTAATATAGCTCTGTACTATAATTTAAGAACTGATATTTTAATGCCTCCTGCTTCACTTTTCTTGCTGAGGATTGCTTTTTCTGTTCTGGCCTTTTATTTTTTCAAGTGATTATCATGATTGCTTTTTTTATTTCTATAAAAATGTCATTGGGATTTTAATAGAAATGACACTAAATCTGAATAGCATTTTTCATTGCACAGTCATTTTGACAATGTTATTTCTGCCTATCCAAGAACATAGGAGGTCTTTCAATATTCTAATGTCTTCTTTAATATCTTTCTTTAGTTTTATGTAGTTTTTATTGTAGACATGTTTCACCTCTTGTTTTATATTGGTCTTCAAGTATTTTCCTTTCTTTCCTTTTCTTTTTATTTTCTTTCCAGGATTGCCAAGGTTATAGTTTTTTCTGATTTCTCTTTCACCTGATGATTCATTGGTGTATAGGAATATAATTGATTTATTGTTATTGATTTAATATCCTGATACTTTGCTGAGTTCTTTCATGAATTTTAGAAGCATTTTGGTGGAGTTTTTGGAGCCTTCTAAATATAGAATTATGTTGTTGGAAAATAGGGATACTTTGAGTTGTTTTTATTTATATCTGTTTAATTTCATACTCCTGTATAATTTCTAGGAGTAGAGTTTGAAAGACCATGTTGAATAGCAGTGGTGAAAAAGTGCATCCCTGTCTTGTTCCAGTTTTTAAAGGAAATGCTTTCAATTTTTCTTCATAAAGAATGACGTTGACCTTGTGTTATTCTATACAGCTTTTACAAGGTTGAAGTATGTTCAACATTGTAAAAAACTACAGTCTGTAGTTTTCCTAGTGTTTTGAACATGAAAGGATGCTGCATTTTGTCAAATGCTTTTTCTGAATCTATGAAGATAATCATACGATTCTTATCAATAAGTAAA